TTAATACTTTGTAATTACCTTTCATGGTAACCATTATAGTTGTTAAACTCAAATAAATATGCAATTGTTACCATAAACTTGGAAGAATTTGAAGCCTCTAAAGTGTAATCCAACTCTCCAACTAAACCTTTCCCAAGCTCATCAGCATACAGGCGTAGGTCACCTTTTCTCTTCGCTATCTTTTGCAATATCCCAAGCTGAAATGGTTATGTACAACTAAGTACAAGCTTAATGAAAAACATATATAGGAAATTACAATTCACCAACACAAGATTAATCGATTCTTTTACAAACCCCTAGGCGAAGAATATATATATCGCGCACTACAATATGACGCAAGTTAGGCCGTTGAACTTTAATAGCAACATTAAATCCATCAAGAGTACGCCCACGGTAGACCTAGAATGTGTAAAACATCAAGCAAATAAGAAATAAACTCGAAAACATAATGATTATAAATAATTCTACATCAATTAAATGCACACATATGTATGTGTTATATACACCTGACCAAAAGATGCTGCAGCCTCAGGTTCCCCTGAAATGTAGCTAAATAATGACTCTACAGGAGATCCTAATTCTTCTTCGATAATTTTCATAGCCACACCCCTGGGAAATGGAGGAATTTGATCATGCAGCTCAGACAATGCCTGCAATCATAAACCAAAGAAGACAAGATGAACAAAATATCCAGCATTCGAGTTGTTTCATGGTAAAGATGAGGAAACAACAAAATATCTTGCATGAAAAAAAAATATTCAGAAGAACTTTCACATCGAGGAAAAAGAAACCACAAACAAAATGGTATTGTAATAATTGAAGCCACTTACATAAAGACAAAAGCGCACCAGCATACAACCACAAAGAAAAACATCATTAGATTAAAGTCCACACATATCAATGCAAAACAGGATGAGAAGAATTGGATAAGTTTTAGTAAATTTTTTTTTTTTCGTTTGCTATACTAACATAGTAAAAGGACACTGACTGCAAATGAAAGTTGAAACCTTTACACTTGACGGAAAATGCATAGAAGTGTGTTATAAATATATGATTTCACATTGGTGGCAGATAATGTACTAATATTCAAATAAATAAAAACAAAATAGAAGATATAGTTCTATACAATCTAACCTTGGAAATTTCAGCACCAATAATGTCTGGCCTGGTGGAAAGGGACTGACCAACTGCATCAGCAAGCAAACGCATGTAACTAGCATATTGGCAATCTTGTGACTGCAGGGGAAAGTAGAAGTCCTAGTATATAATTTGAAGAGCAATATGTAGAATAACGATAGAGTAAATTTTTCAATAACTTAACAAGAAAGATGAGAATTGGAGCTTTAATGCTCAAAAAACTTCAACTAGATAGACTTTCTCACCTTTGATAAAAGTGGGACCCAGGTTTAGCATAGTTTCTTTTAACACCATTCCAAAATTGTAATGTGATACGTTCTCATTAATTCCCTCATCCGAACTTGGTCTTAAGAACTTCTTTATCCCAGAGGTCCGAATTCTGATTGCAGCAGAAGCAAAGGAGGAAAATACCTTACCACACACAACATGGGGAACCCAATAAGGATTTATTTTATCAAATAGCCCAAATAAAAGCTTTTGCGTAACAATAAGATAGCAGACCCTGAACTAAATAACAAGCCAGAAAAAAGATAGACATCTAACAGGCAGGTATAACCCAAGAACATGTTTTATGTTTTCCAATTTACAGTTCCACAATCCAAGAAGATGTGGTGGATCTTTGAAGAAAAAACAGTATTTTACAAGTCAAGATTGGTACACTGTTATGAGGGAGCTCAAAAAAATTAAGAAAAGTGTCAACAGTGTTGACTGTAGTTGCTGTAATTTCACTTACAAGCACCCTCATCCTACACAGGATGCAATTAAAATAAGAACTCTAGCAAACTGGTGTTTTAATCAGTAATATAAACAGATTTTAGAAATAATAAAAAGGAAAGAAGACTTTAAATTTACTGGGGAAAGAGAATTTTGGACTACAATAAATACATGCTTGAAATGTTATAAAAGATTGAACCAAAGAACTAGCCAACTTAGTGGGCCAGGCCTAGCAGTGCCAAATATCAGTTCAGTAGAACTTAAATCCAAAAGTGTGCCATTGGAAGAGCCTCTAGAAAAGGAAACTTAGTACTAGATAACTCACCAATCTAAGAAGGCAAGAGGCACACCAACAAAGTATTGGATACCTAAAAGTTAATTATCTATTAGATATTGAACCTACCTCGAGAAGTCTGAAGGCCACTACATGGGGCCTGCACCTGAAATAATCACCAATACTTTCTGGATCATAGACTTCAGGAAGTGGCTTGGACCAAACCTTAGACAGATAATAAAAGTACAGAGCATATGCCTCAAAAGCTTTGAGATCAGCCATGAACAAATCAACACCAGAGAGTTCTGCCAGAGGATAGATTTCCAACATCAATTTCAACTAGACAAGGTATAAGTTCCAAGTTCCGAACGGGATCGCACAAAATGATAATTTAAGCATTAGATAATCATACGAAGAGGGTAATATATTTTTAGTCAAAAATATTGGCAACCCAAATTTGCTACTCTTGAGTTCTTTCCATCCTTATTAGAATGTCATTGGCAAAACACTATATGGTATGGATACATGATTACTTGAGAACAAAACCTATTTTTCCTAGAACAGGAATCAGAGGAAACCTAGTAAGACAAGACCAATCTAGTCCTAACACAAAAAAAAACTGATGGGAGGAGGACTGACAGAATTACTTGACAAAATCAATAACCAAGTGATTACTACACTTGAGTTCTTTCCATCCTTATTAGAATGTCATTGGCAAAACACTATATGGTATGGATACATGATTACTTGAGAACAAAACCTATTTTTCCTAGAACAGGAATCAGAGGAAACCTAGTAAGACAAGACCAATCTAGTCCTAACACAAAAAAAAACTGATGGGAGGAGGACTGACAGAATTACTTGACAAAATCAATAACCAAGTGATTAATCTTAAACTTCGTCAAAGCTTTGTAATTACATAAAAGGGTGAGACTTTACACATTTGCGGCTGTTTGTTAATGAAATCAGAACCAATCTGTCAAATTAAGCAAACTATGTATGATTATCCTCACTTGGCCAAAATAAAAAAATTCACAAAATGTAGGAACTTTATTCATTTCCAAACTTGCAAATCTTTAGCAAGAAAAAGGTATGCAGAAGATGGTACTTAACCTGCATAGGAAGGTTGAGGCCAAGAAGGAGCTGGCAATGGAGGCGCATTGGGGTCTTCGAGGTTGCGAAGCCACACGACGTCGTCTAGGGTTTTGGAAACCTCTGGAATTCGAAAAGCCTTATTAGCCCACTGAATCCCACTCCCAATCCCCCGCTTCAGAAACTCCACGTCCTTGCGAACCACCTGACCCAAGTGCCCGAAGTCCCCCAGAGCTCGCCCATGCCTCGCGCGCTTGCTCTTCGACGTCGTTTTGGAGGCCCCCGTCGACCTCAGCACGCACGCCGGCTTAAACGACAGCGACAACGATGCTGCTAGCGCTGTCGTCGCCATTACTGGCCTGCGAGCGAGAGCTGCTGCGTGACGGAAAAATGGTGGTTAATTAGTTGTTAATGTTGTTTAACTGGTTTGTTTAAGGATGTGATTGGTTTTGGGTTGTGGACTTATCGCAGTGACGATGATGAAGACGACGAACAAGAGAAGAACGAGTGGCAAAGGAGGAAGCGTTGTGTTGTCGGTGCCTCGTGGCCACGGTAAACCGGTTAGATGGACTTAATCTGCTGCTTTAGTGTGTACTGTGAGCTTTTAGGCACGGGGGTGTTGGTTGGTTCCAGTCTGTTCCTGACCAGTAACACCTTGACACGTAGACAAGCTCACGAGTGTAGACATTCGATGATTAAGAAATCTTACTTTTTGAACTTATAGTTCCGTTATTAGGAGAATAAACTACAGTATATGTCATTTTTGATAACTGAGATTTTTTTTTTCCAATATTTTGTGACTGAGATTGAATTGCATTATTTAGTAAAATTAGATATTGGATTATGAGGTTGATTAACGGTAATGTAATGATGTGTTTGATGCTACTCATCCAACTTAATCATAATCCTTTGATGGGATTTATAATCCTACTACATTTGGCCCTAACAAGATTAGGCATTATTCAATTCACGTTGTTTAGATAGCCAAACATTTAACTAGGATCATGAATCATATCGAGTCATATCATCTATCCCACCAAATGAACCATATTTGTATCTAAACGTGACATGACTATTTTGGGAATTTTTACATTAAAATGGCAATGTAAAATGCGCATTAGCATCTATGACAAGTGTGTTGATGATGTTTTGGTCTTAAAAGATTTGAGTTAAACTAAAAAGTTACTTATAAATGGTGGAATTTCAATCGTAGATTCAATGAAACTCACTAAAACATCCATGTCAATCAATTCGTATAAACAACTAATCTTAGCACTTTAATTAGTCGAAGAATTATATGTGCGTTCTTTTGTGTTTTCCTTTTTAATTAAGCTAGTACTTTGCTTTTTCTTCATCTTGAATTCTTGATGCATAATTGAAGATAATGGCAAGATAATACAAGACTTGACTGGCAAGGGTAGTTTCAGTCTTCCGTTGCTAAACATTTTACCATTTCACCCTTAACTTCTGTGCTTACAGATGGGTTAGATTTTCATGCAGAACTCAACCTCCACCACACATATAAGATTTGACCTATCAACTGGGATATTCCACAGACGGCCACCTATTTGGATTGACAGAATCCACGTGGCCCAATAACAGAGCACAAGCAAGCAGCATTAGCCAATCACAATCCACATTTGGATTCTTCTATATCTCCCACAAGTTGTGTACCCCCTACTACTAGTATTCCTTGCCACTCCTTCCACCTCCCATATTCTAAGTCTCCCCTTCTTCTTCCTCCCAGAGACCAAAAATCTTGCAGGCATTCATTTGTTCATTAATGGCTTCCAACACTTTGATGAGCTGTGGCATCGCCACCACAGCCTTCCCTTCAGTCCTCTCATCCTCTAAGTCTAAATTTGCCACCAGTGCAGTCCAGCTCCCCAGTGTTGGTGCCAATGCCTCCTCCAGGTTCTCCATGTCCGCTGATTGGATGCCCGGCCAGCCGAGACCTCCTTATCTAGATGGCTCTGCACCCGGGTAACGAAATATAACAATTCAATAATAATGTTAGGGTCATCAAATATGTTTCGTATCTTGTTAGAAATAAATAAAGTGTAAAGCTAATTTAGATTTGAATAACTTAAATAGTTTGAGGTCATTTGGTGAACGAAATTTGGTGAACCTAACATGCTAATTAATTTGAAGAAAACTATATTATATTTCCAATACTTTGGAGTTTATGTTAGTATTTAGTGACATTGTATTAATTTGTTGGTTGTTGGGGTTTCAGTGACTTTGGATTTGACCCACTTCGGCTAGGAGAAGTGCCAGAAAACTTGGAGAGGTTCAAGGAGTCTGAGCTCATTCACTGCAGATGGGCTATGCTTGCTGTTGTAAGTACAAAAACGATACAAACATTTTCATTAAAAATTCCTGCAATTTTGTTTACTTTTTTGAATTGAAATTTATTTACTTTTGAGGACTAATTAAACTTGCAAATTACAACTTTTGCAGCCAGGGATTCTAGTACCAGAGGCTTTGGGATTGGGCAACTGGGTAAAGGCACAAGAGTGGGCTGCCGTTCCAGGAGGCCAAGCCACCTACTTAGGCAACCCAGTTCCATGGGGCACATTGCCTACAATTTTGGTCATCGAGTTCCTTTCCATTGCTTTTGTAGAGCACCAACGCAGCATGGAAAAGGACCCGGAGAAGAAAAAGTACCCTGGTGGGGCTTTTGACCCCTTGGGCTACTCCAAGGACCCTAAGAAGTTTGAGGAATACAAAGTCAAGGAGATCAAAAACGGTCAGTACACATATACCTAGTCTCTTATAATTACAATGTTTTATGTTGTCAGACTGTGAATGTGTTATAATCTAATTACTAGCTAATTTAATGACTGTGTAGGCCGGCTCGCATTGTTGGCTTTTGTTGGTTTCGTTGTTCAACAATCGGCGTACCCTGGCACCGGACCTTTGGAGAATTTGGCCACCCACTTGGCTGACCCATGGCACAAGAACATTGGGGACGTCATTATCCCAAAGGGGATTTTGCCTTGATTATCCCATGCAATATTTAGATTTACACCCACTGTAAAAATTAAAATTCCATGTGGTACCGTATGCAATGAATCCGAACATCTTGTCTTTGGCATGTGTGAGTGAGTTTACAAGCAAACTTTTACCATCACCCTTCATATCTTAGATCTATCTAAAGAACTGTATTGAATATATCACTTAGTTCTTTTCTAAATCTGCTTCATTATTCTTCAGTGTGTATTTCTTTTCTCTTTGAGAAGGGTTGTAATTTATGTATCAAAACAAAATAAAGACCATCGAGCAATAGGACACTGTTATTTTATTAATGCTTGCATTACAAGTAGTTGGTAAAACACACACAAGCGACTCCATCATCAACCTCCACGCATTGGGAACTTGCATGTTGGGCCTTGAGCTGAGCAATACAGTCCGCTTGACAATCAGCCTCGTTACAGGTAGACGCATCAGGAGAAGGGGCTGGGCTTGGAGTGAAAATGTGCGCACAGCCTCAACACCAATGTGTTGGTTTGGAGCCAACAATGTCATGAGCACCAAAGCAAGCACCAATGTCAAGAACAACAATCAAAGCATACCGTTTACTTTGCCAAAGAGTTGAGACCGATATGGATGGAAGGCAGCGGTTTTTTGGGATTTGGGGGTTTTTGGATTTCTGAGTATGACAGACAGAAATTGAGGAGGGAGGAAGGAAATCGACCTGGCATGGAGGCTGTGAGAGGTTGAGAACGAAGAGATATGGTTCAGATTCTTCCCGATCAGTTTTCAGAAACATCAGTTCGAAGAGGAAGAAGGTTCCGCACCTTGCTCTCCAATTGGATAAATTTTAGTCTAAAATCTTGAGAATATAAAAGGGATTGAGAGAGAAAGTGAGACAATGGGGCAGGCGTGAAGTCTGAGAACGAAGAGGAAAAGGGATTGTAGATGAGAGGGAGCCAGTGAGGGTTTAGGATCAGAGATTGGGAGGAGACGAGAGACAGAGGACGATAGAGGGTTTGAGGGTAAGAGAGGGTGCCAAATTAGAAAAGTAGTGGAAATAAAAAATAAAAAAGCGGGACCCGAAATTAAAAAAGAGTTTGAGAGAGAGACTGAAATTTTAAGCTGAAAAGTGAGCCCGCAAAAAAAATCGGATAGTTTTCTCACCGACATTTTACTGTAGTAAATTAATATAGTTTTGACAACATGTGATGCGTGTTGTCGAACTTTAGATACAACAACACGCAAGGATGCGTTGTTAAAATGTTCCCAAAATTCCATTTTGACAACACGCACTAAATGTAAGTTGTTGAAATCGGTATAACACGACACGCACAAGGCTGAAATTTTAAGCTGAAAAGTGAGCCCGCAAAAAAATTCGGATAGTTTTTTCACCAACATTTTACTATAGTAAATTGATATAGTTTTGACAACATGCGATGTGTGTTGTTGAACTTCAGATACAACAACACGCAAGGATGCGTTGTTAAAATGTCCCCGAAATTCCATTTTGACAGCGCACACTAAATGCAAGTTGTTGAAAACGGTATAATACGACACGCACAATCCACACGTTGTGGAAAATCTAATTCCACAACGCGTAATTTACGTACATTGTTAATATCGTGTTATCGTATGGTAATTTCCTTGTAGTGTGTGTTTGACTAATCTAGATGTGTTTGGAAAAATCTAGCCAAAAGTGATGTAAGGGATGATGGTTGAATGTCTCAAGGAAAACCCTTGCATGAGATAAGAACAAGCCACCCACTTACGTACGTAGTCAAAACCAATACCATCGATTGTTCTGGTCTAGAGCAAAGCTTTTTCCTATAAAATAAGTGCTTAGTCTATTTTGAAATAATATAACAATAAGGTGTACTCATTTGCAGATGTGCGACCATAGTATAGATTTAATAAAGTTGCAGGCCATCTCATTTCTCCATCTACATCTCTCAACACAGGCTTCAAAGACTGGCATACATTAATCCAAAACAGAAAAACAAAGATAGCAAATGGGTAAGGGAGGAAAGACTGATGGAGGTGATGGCTTTGGAGATGCAAGCAGAGATGATGTTGAACAAGAGAACATGGCTGCTTGGCTTCTTGGTGTTAACACCCTCAAAATCCAACCTTTCAAGCTCCCTAATCTCGGTACCAATTTGTTCTTTTTCTGGATCACTGTTTTTTTTTAAACTCAACTTCTTTCACTTTTCAGGTCAAATTATTATTTGTGATCCTTTTTGCCTAATTGACTTCCCGTGTTCCTTGTTTTCTTGGTATTTCTTTAGGACCCCGTGATGTTTTAGTTCGACTCAAGGCTGTTGGCATATGCGGCAGTGATGTTCACCACTTCAAGGTCCACCCCCCTCTTTCCCTTCTTGGCTGCAAGGGTCTGGGCACACTGCCTTGGTCAATTGACATAACCCAACCCACGTCTCCATTATAACTAATTAAATTGGTAAATATGTAATGTTTTGATTGTTGTTTGTTACTATTTCAGAACATGAGATGTGCAGATTTTGTGGTGAAAGAGCCAATGGTAATTGGGCATGAGTGTGCTGGGATCGTTGAGGAAGTTGGGAGTGAGGTGAAGCATCTGGTGCCTGGTGACCGTGTGGCACTAGAGCCCGGCATCAATTGCAAGCGATGTGAGCTATGCAAACAAGGCCGATATAATCTATGCCCTGAGATGAAGTTTTTCGGGTCCCCTCCAACTCATGGTTGCCTGGCAAATCAGGTATCCACGTATTTGCTGCATATTATATGCCAGTTGTAACTAGCACAAGATGACACGTGGAGTCTTGAATTGAACTTTTAGTATTGGATAAGGCTGACTAGAGCATGACTGGACTTTTTGAGTTATTTTATTTTACAGGTTGTCCATCCTGGAGACCTGTGTTTTAAACTACCAAATAATGTGAGCTTGGAGGAGGGGGCAATGTGTGAGCCCTTAAGTGTTGGTGTTCATGCTTGTCGTCGGGCTAATGTCTGTCCACAAACAAATGTTTTGGTCATGGGAGCAGGACCTATAGGACTTGTTACATTGTTGGCTGCTCGTGCCTTTGAAGCATCTAGAATTGTCGTGGCGGATGTGAATGACCACCGTTTATCCGTTGCAAAGGCTCTTGGTGCACATGAGATCGTCAAAGTTTCCACAAATATCGAGGTACATGACGCTGTTACATGTTGGGGGTTTGTAAGGTGACATCAACCCTTTTTTTAATGAGTTTATGTAAATTATTTTGAAGGAGGTTGCTGAAGAAGTGGCTAAGATAAAAGAAGCTATGGGAACTCGAGTGGATGTAAGCTTCGATTGTGCAGGGTTTAATAAAACCATGGCGACAGCTCTGAGTGCTACTGGTTCCGGTGGCAAAGTTTGCCTTGTGGGAATGGGCCAGAGAGAGCTGACTCTCCCACTCACTCCAGCTACTGCCAGGTATAAATTGATGAATTCATTTGTTCACTTTGTAAAACTATTTGTATCGTATTTGGTGTCACATCTCTAATAGAGGCATGAGACATTACTCACTTGTGACACGCATTATTTATATTATTTATGATTTCATGATTTTAATACAGAGAGGTTGATGTGATTGGAATTTTCCGATACAAAAACACATGGCCCTTGTGCCTCGAATTGTTGAGAAGTGGTAAGGTTGATGTGAAGCCCCTGATAACACATCGTTTTGGATTCTCTCAAAAGGAAGTGGAAAAAGCATTTGAAGCTAGTGCTGGTGGAGCCAATGCCATTAAGGTCATGTTTAATCTGTAAAATTGGCTCAAGGAAATGGAGCCAATCTTTGATGAAATTTTTGTTGTGCTTTGTCTGCCCAATAATTGGGGTTTGTGGTTGGGTGTTGTACTTATAATTAGCCCATTTTAAACCTATCTAGTCGGGTACAAGTTTCTGTTGTAAAAAAAAACAACTATTGAAAGGAATAAGGAGATTGACCAAAAATAAAAAGAACATGTTCTTATGTGATCCCAAAGCACACAAATACAATCAAATTTTCACCAAGAAAACACCTAATACCATCACGAGGCTTATTGAAGGTAGAAAGACGCAACTAAAGGCAGGAACCCTAGTTAGATTATCTATATCCCATCCTATTGCAGTCAAGAAATACATGGTGTATAGAACAATTAATTATTATTTTTAGCTTATCACACGCAAGTCACACTTGATCATATAAATAAAATGTTCCATTCAAATTCAACACATGTGTATAGATATAGTCCCTTATGGGGCATTTTCTCAGAGGTGGCCTGAAAAGTAAAGAAAATATAGAACAATTTTGAGTAGAGCAGTTTTTATTTTATTATATATATATTTATTTTAAATTAGCGATAATAGTATTCAATAATTGGGTACAAAGACCAAATACCCATAAAGGGTTAATATATAAAGATGGATGCACAGTAACTGCAAAGGGTTAATCCAGGTATAAGAGGACACATCGGCTATATCGCACATCTTATATCTCTACTACTAACCCTAAAAGACCAAATACATTTCAATGTAACAGTCACTCGCATGAGTAGTGTAACAACCCTATCCCTAATTAATTTATAACTATTAAGTGTCGAACACGCACATGGTTTAGCTCGAATTCCAAAGTGGAATTTGAGTGGGTCCTGTCAAGTAGAGTAGAGAAGTTTTTATCCATGAAGACTATGGTAAAATAAAGAATTGAATAGATGGACAATGAATTATTACATACTTCGGATACAAGTTTGTTTGCTTGTCCAGAGAAACAAGTTTGTTTGCTAATTAAGCAGCTAAGGAATTTGATCCAGACATAAATCAAAGCAAATGAAAATGTGCTAAAAAGAAAATGCTTCATTGTTGGAAGTTTAATATTATAATATTTAATTTAGACAAGTGTCGTGTTTTAGCCAAGTATTGCAACCTTTTGCAATTCAAACAAAACGCACCGCTCGGTATTTAGAGAATATCAGATGTAATTATATCGCATCCATTGTAATGAGTTTGGGTTCTTTATAAACCCATGGGCATGGCCCTCTTCTTT